GTCAACATGGGGCTGGACCACGCCGAGCTCGTCCGCCTCAGCCCCGACTCACGGTACGGCCGGACCTTGTACTAGCACCGGGATGTCCTGCAGAGCCGCCAATCTCTCGGCCAGGCTGTGGTGGGATCAGTGGTGTTGCTCTGGGATGGGTGGAGGCAGCATCTCTCACTGGGTCATCACCATATCATTGACTAATGGCCATTTCTGAGAGCAGCTGGCACTTAATCACAGTAGTTCGAGTTGGAGGGAACCTCTGGAGTTCATCTGGTCCAGCTCCTGGTGGGTTAATGTGGTTTGCAGGGCAAATATCTCTGCGCACAGCTTGCTGCCCCCATGGAAGGTACCTGTTGACATCACTGCCAGCTGACATGCAGCTGGAATGTGCTGCTGAGTCTCTCCAGTGGTCAGGGAAGCTCTTGCTGGATGGGAAATCTGGCGGAAGAATATCATTTGGCTTTTTGGTCTCTTTTAGAAAGAAAAGAAGGGATCTTGTTTCCTGGTGTGGGATAATAAATTTCATTCTTTTTTATTCAGTGTTGCAGTTGAGCCAACCTAGGGAGAGAAGTTCGTGCCCTTGTAAATATTTTTACGTGGCAGCATATCACTCTTCCCAGGTGCCCCTGAGTGACCTGGGCTGAGCTGGGGCTCAGAGCCTCTCCTTCCACAGGGCTTTTATTGTCTGGCTGGCCAATGCTGAGACCATTCGTGTCTACAAGATGACCAAGAAGGATGACGGCAGCTTCACCTTCACTGCGACTTCTGGGGACTTCCCAAAGAAGCACAAGGCTCCTGTCATTAACATAGGGATTGCAGAGACAGGTATGGAAATGAGCTGATCACCTCTCTAGTACAGCTTTGATTTCCTTGTGAAGCTGCTGGATTCTAAGTGTTAGAGTTTTTGGCGTTCTCAGGGTTGTGGACAGCACCAGTACTGAGCTTTGTAGTCTATTAGTTTTTTTTAACTTAATTTGCTGCCGACTGAACCAAAAGGTGTTGTTTTCACACCAATAATATCCCTGTAACCAGCTCCCCAATATGCACAGTTTCTTAATTTACATTTCCAGGGATGCTGTTGCAAAGAGGTCTGGTCTCAATATTGAGAGGATTGCTGTTCTCTGGGCTGCCGGTCTCTCTTTAACCAGTCAGAAATCTCTCTAGTGAGTTAATATGGTCTGTCTTGAACTTCTGGGATCATCTAGAACAGAGGTGGGGGTGGATGGGTGGAAATTACATTTTAGTGGTGAGGGCTTCATGGATTAATGTGTCAGGTATGTGCCAGTGGCAATTGGAAGCAGGTGGATGTGAGTTCACCTCTGTAATAGGAGAGCAGGGAAGATGTTAACTGAGACTGGAGCTGTGAAAGCGAAAACTTAAACCAAGTACCTGGAAGGTAAACAGGCAACTCCCTGCCTGGGCTGAGGTGGCAGAGGGGAAGCGGGAACAAACAGCAGTCCAGCATGGGCACAACCAGCAATCATGGATCATGGTGTTGTGACTGGGATTCAGTTGCCTGCCTGCAGTCCACAGCTTGAAAGGTGCTTATCCTCAAGCTGATTTTGAGCATGCAGGTCAGATGGAGTGTTTGTTCTTGTTTGTGGCACAGTCCAGTGGGGCTGCATGTGGGGGTCCCAGCTCTGCTTGTGGGGCTCAGGGTTCTGAGTACAGGGCACACATGGGTTCAGTGCCTCCTGCCTGCTCAGGAGCCAGGGGAGTACTGAGGCATAACCAGGAGCTGAGTCTTGTGATACCGCTCTTTACCCTGTCCTAGGAGACTGATACTCCTTGGATTTTGGTGCTGCTGCTGGTTTTCTCCAGCTGCAGGGAGAGGTTATCCTCGGGCTTCATTAAGTCTGTGGTAGTGTTAGGTCTGGGGGCTCTCCTGATCTTTGCCTTTTTTTTCCCAGGGAAGTTTATCATGACAGCTTCCAGTGACACCAACATCCTGATCTGGAGCCCAAAGGGCGAAGTCCTGGCCAGCATTAACACCAACCAGATGAACAATGCCTATGCCACAGTGTCACCCTGTGGGAGGTGAGTGACAGGCAGGATTTCAGGCTGCTCCTTTGAACAGGGATAACATCAGTTCAGACCATTGGCAGTTAGTTGCTATTGTAATGCAACTTTCTGAGGGTTCCACAGTTTAAAAAGGTATTTTGACCTCCCAGGAGATGGAGCTGATGTGGGCTCAGGCACTCTTGTTCTGTCATCCTGCCTCAGCGCTACTGTTCTGGTAACCTGAGAACAGCTTTGGCCTCAGATTGCAGGGGTGGGACAGAGCAAATGGCTTATGCAAAAAAACCAGCATTTTGAACTTGTCTGTGACCTCTTAAAGGTTAATTATAAAAATAAAGGTTTTATTTCTGGGAGATGTGTTTTTTTGGGAAATCAGTTGCTGCTGTTGGTTGATTTGCCTTGCTCCTGGCATGAGGAGGTTGGGGCTAAAAAGCATTTAGCTCTTCTACTTTGACCGGAGAGTTTCTCATTCCTGAGCTGTTCTGGTGTCCTTCCTTACTGTTCCCTTTACCAGCCAGGTTTCAGGGAAAAATTGAAATTAAGATGACCAGACTTGAGTGCAGGAGTCAGGACAGGTTTGCAGAGCTGTGGCCCTGCCCGCTCAGGTTCTCTGTAAGAGGCAAACTGTGTGTCTGCTTATTCCTTCACACAGGTTTGTGGCATCCTGTGGCTTTACCCCTGATGTGAAGGTATGGGTGGTGTGTTTTAGCAAGAACGGAGACTTCAGGGAGGTGACCAGGGCTTTTGAGTTGAAGGGCCACACTGCTGGTGTACAATCCTTTTCCTTCTCCAACGACTCAAGGAGGTATGTACGTGTTACTTGCTCTTAGTTACTGTAAGGACATGTAAGCTCATCTCTTTCAGTGTTCACCAGCTGCACCACTGAGCTGCAGAGGGTAAAACACTGCTCTGGGGAGCCAAATCTGGCTTGTGCCACCCTGCTTATAGGAATCTCATGTGGTTTAACAAGACCAAGTGCTGATGCTGCACTTGGGTCAGTGTGGAGACAGACAGGCATGCCAACCCTCTCCCTTGGAGAGGTATCCCTTGAATAGGTTATGATAAGATCTTCTCAAACCCTCCTGGACTGAGAAATCCTCTTTGGTCATGGTGAGTTCCCAGCATGCTTTGGAAGCCCATGTAAATTTGTTGGGACCAATTGGTTTTTCCCCTTTGTACCACTCCCAGTTTTCCCCATAAAAACCCCTGCTGCTGCCCCGTTCAGGGGGGAGCTGCTATCCCTGGCCTCCTTGGCAGGGGGCTGGAATAAAGGCTACCCCTGTGGAATAACCACACGATGCTACTGTCTCTTTGTCCCTGTGTTGGCCACGGTACACTTAGCAAGGCAGAGCTGAAATCACTGCTCAGAGCTGAATTGCCTGCCCCTTGCTGAGGTTACCCAGCAGTTGAAGGACTGCCTGAGACTCCTAGAAAATTGTCTCTTGTGGCATCTCTCTCTGGGAAGTTTGCGGCATCCAGGCTGAGCCATCAGACTCCTGACTGGCCGCCCAAACAGAGCAGGGCAACCCCCAGTATCCAAGATGGGGATGAACAGACTGAGAGCAGCCTGGGGGTGCTTGTGAGTGAGAAGTGGACATGACCCAGCCCAGAAACTCCTCTGGGTTGATCCCACAGCGTGAGGGTAACAAGGGAGAGTGGAATTCTGTCCCTCTGCTCCACTCTCGGGTGAGATCCCACTTGCAGAGCTGCCTCCAGTTCTCCAGCACAGGAAGGACTTGGAGCTGCTGGAGTGAGTCTAGTGGAGACACCAACATGATCAGAGGGATGGAGCAGCTCTGGTATGAGGAAAGGCTGAGAGAATTGGAATTGCTCAGCCTGGAAAATAGAAGGCTTCAGGTTATGTAATTGTGGTTTTCTAGGACCTGAAGGGAACTGACAAGAAAGATGGGAGAGAGATTATTTACAGGGGCCTGGAGTGACAAGATAAGGGGGAATGGTTTCAGACTGATAGAGAGTGGGTTAGGTGAGATATTGGGAAGGAAGGCTTGGTTGTGAGGATGGTGAGGCCCTGCCACAGGTTGCCCAGAGAAGATGTGGCTGCCCCATCTCAGGAAGTGTTCAAGGCTATGTTGGAGCAGCCTGGTCTAGTGGTAGGTTTTTTTGTTTTGGAAAAATAACCGAGACTGTATCTGTATATAGACTCACACTTCCCAAGAGATAACCTCCACAGAGGATTCCTGATTCATGGACAGGGCAGGGTAAGAGGTGCCACCCTTTTTCCATGCACTCACTGTGCTCTCTTGGCCGCAGGATGGCGACCGTGTCAAAGGATGGCACATGGAAGTTCTGGGACACAGATGTGGAGTACAAGAAGCAGCAGGACCCACACCTGCTTCTGACAGGGCAGTGTGCAGTGCTGGAGCCATGCCGCATTGCTCTGTCCCCTGACGGCCGCACGGTCGCTGTGGCGAGCGGCACAGACATTGTGGTGTACAACACACGGCGCGGTGAGGAGGAGGAGCGTTTTCTTGGCGTGCACAGCCACTGTATCACAGACCTTGCATTTGACACCACTGGCCGCTATGTCGTGTCCTGTGGGGACCGCGCTATCTGTGTTCTCCACAACGCTGCCGGGCACCGTGCCGTGGTGGAGGAGATGGAGGCCATGCTGAAAAAAACTGGGAACAAAGCCACACAGGAGAGGCTGGAGCAGCAGATCTCCAGTGCTCGCAAAGCATTGGCTGCCATCTATGGCAAGAAGCACTAAGCTACCTGTAAAGCAGGAGGCAACTGTGCTCTGCCTTGGAGATGTTTTGTTTTTTTTTTTTTTTTTAGTAACTGTGAACAGCAGTAATAAAAGAGTGCCCAGGTCCTTCCTTGCGTGCTGTGTGATGGGCGGGACAGGGCTGGGGACAGTGGCGTCTCCCAGTGTCACACTCCACACTCTTGTGTTGTTTTCCCCCCGGGCTTAGATCATCAGTATCCCATGAAATCGATTGCTAAGCCAATGCCTACGAGTTCTCCTGAGCTTAGAAACGGGAGTTGTATGGATTTGGGGTAGGTTTTTTGATTGGTTGCTTTTGTTTTTTTTCAAGAGAGCTACCAAAGCTCAATGTTGATGCTAAACGGTGGGGACTCTGCTTCAGGGAACGGGGCAGTGCGGTAACGGTGCAGCATTCCCCCGGCCCGGGATCTCAGGGTGATCTCACGGTAGTGTGCGGCGGAACCTGCCCCAAAGGAAGATGGCGGTGCACCGTCGCCTCGCCTGCGCGTCGTTTCCGTGCCCACTGTAGGGCGTGTATGCCTGCGCAGGCGCAGCAGCCG